TTTCTTTAATTTTTTCAAAAAAAGCTAGACACCCTGGAACGACGGCTCTAGTAAATTTTTATGGTAAAGTGTTATAAATTATTGTAAAAAATTGAATATTTTGTTGAAGTTGGGATGAACAAAGGTTCACTTTTTTGCTTGATCTTTTCAAAAACAAGTCACAGTTCAATGGAAAAATTAGATCAAACATTTATTGAGATGACCACAATCTCTTACAATAATAAAATTAATTATAAAATATAATAAAGAGATTACTGTAACATAAAACATACTGGTCCAGAATATTCAAAATCAATTACATCATAAAATAACAAAGAAAAAATAATAAAGCATAGACTTTGAGGTGTCTTGAAATTTCAGTATGCAATTGATCTCAAAAACAACAACAAGGGAAAATAAATAGATTTTTTTGTAAACTTTGAAAAATACAAGAATTTAAAAAATTGGGTTTTGCTATTTTTTGTAAAAAAAAATAAAATAAGACGAAAAGACACTTTTGTTTGTTCTGACTATGAAAAATAAATCTTAAAGAAAATAAGTGTAAAATATACAAAAAATATCTAAAATACATTTTCAAAAATATCAAAAATCGCAAAATCGAGAAAAATTTTTGAAATCAACTTTAACAATAAAAGTAGTCGCATTAAAATAAACTTTGATCACCACGAGGTTTTGTGATCACTCGTTGAAATTCACGTCGTGCCATCGTCGATGAATCAAGATATGAATTCATTGTTTGTAATTTGAATATTTTTATTTTCAAACAAAAACAAAAGGCAAAACGTGTTTTATGCAGTCTATTTATAATATAAAGATGTTTATTTGGTAAATAATTGTTTATTTTGCAGCCACTGTTTATTCATTTTCGAATTATGCATTTTTGGGCAACTAAAAAAAAACTAATAGTAAATATATAGAGATAATGAAAAACAAAGAAAAACACAAGTGTAAAGACAACACAACCAAAACCAATGACAACATTTTAAACTATAATTAATAATAAAATAAATTAATAAATTGTTAAAATTAATAATGTTATTTATAATAGTTTTATAATTATGATTGTTATATATAATAGTAACAATCAACAGACACAATTTTGACACAATAACCATCAACAATCATATCTTTATTACAACGCGATTTCATCGAAGTGATAAGTAATCACATTGATATAACAATGTTATGTAATTAAAACTATATTGTATCTTATGCATAATTATTATTATAACAAAAAATGGTATAATGACCCTTATTTATAATATTATCATTTTAGAAAGAACATAATGTTTATGTACTTGATGTAGTTGTTATATAGATAACAATTTAAATTATTTGGATGTTAGAATTGATTACAAACTATATTTATAATATTATTTTACCATTAATAATATAAAGTTTAAATAATAATATAATAATTATTATATTGAATTAATTTTTTCAAATGACAATAATGTTAAAATAATGTTATTCAAACACACCAAATAACAAAAATATGATAAAATTTTTGTTTTAAAATAGATAATTTCGAAGAATATTTTAAATTAACGACTATCTGTTATTTCACGACAATGGATCAATAAGAAACAGACAAACAAATGCCACTTATAATATTATTAACCGTTATAGTTAAAAATATTAGATAATTTATAATGTATTGTTTATTTGATTAATTTTGTAACGAATTGTGTTTTGTGTTTTTAAATAGATTTTTTTGTTAAATTTTTTAAAAATAAATACAGTAAGGTTACCCCGTTTTGTTCAATTGTTTTAATAATGCAAGACAATTATAGTTATTTTTAATTAATGAATACTATTTTAACAAATTAAATGCAAAGAACATTTTTGCGTTTTTATTTGGAGATTGCTAAACAATATAATAGTTTATATTAATTAAAAGTATTAATTAAATCTTACATAAAACAACGTCACTTGCTACAAAACGAATAAATTTGTGATAAAAAAAAGAAATTACTTGACATAAATTTGAATTAACACGATTATTGAGTTGATATTTCAAGATTTGTTATGGATAAATTTATAGTTTAAAATTGCACTATTTTGAAACTGAAAATGTGCAAAACCAATTTATAATCAAAAATTATCATTTTTAATCCTTATATCCCGAAAAAACATTTGAATATCTAATAAATATCGTAAATCAACAATAAATAATTGTGTGAAATAACACACAAATTTCTAGTTATTTTTAAAATAAAAATTCAAAAAAATAAATAATTACTTATTACTATAAATAACTTTGCCGTCTTGCATTTGATTTGACAAAAAAATGCAAAAATTTGCCTCATCATCAGAACTCAAAAAAATAAAACAAATTTTTAAACAGTGAAGTCATCACCATTGGAAACGAGAGATTCAGATGCCCAGAAGCACTCTTTCAGCCATCATTCCTTGGTATGGAAGCATCAGATATCCACGAGACAACTTACAATTTAATCATGAAGTGCGATGTCGACATCAGAAAAGACTTGTACGGAAACATTGTTTTGTCTGGTGGAAAATCAATCCAAAAATCAACGACAGACAAGAGAAGGAGAAAGTTGCAGATGAGAAATGAAATGGCATAATCAAGGCTGTTTATGCTTGGTTCAATTTAATTATATTTGTATTGGTGTTCATTTGGTTTACTTTATATTATTATTGTTATAATCAATCATACAATTCTAATAATTTTACTATCAGTTATATTATTCAAATGTTGATTTTTTATAGTTTATTTATAATTAAAATTACTATACAATTTATTATTCTTTTGTCACGCATTGTATAATGTATCCAAAAACTGCTTTTTTTCTCGACTTAAATTGATGTTTTATAGCGTTGTTTTACCATATAAGATAATTATTTAATGTTATTGTTGTGTTAGTTTAATAATACATAAAATTAATAGTAAGTAATGGGGTTTTATCGCTATATTTTGATGTTATTTGGTTCTCGAAGTATTTTTAGTTTGAGTGGAATTTATTTTTTTTCAACCACAATATTTTTGTTATGTTGTTATTTTATTCTGGTTTGAACCAATCTTATTGGTTATATCAAACCTGCAAATTTGCACACTTTTTAAGTGTTTTTATTGTAATTTTTGGAAACTTGGATACCTGATAATATTATTTAATCAATTTTATTAACATTTTTATTTGTTTATAAAAACAGTTTATTTTCGTATTATTTTTATTACTGATATTAATTTGTTAAATTATATATTTTATTGATTGAAGGACAAATCTTTAACAAAAACCAATTAATTTGAGTTTATGAATGATAAAATGTTTTATAAATAATTCAAAAGTTTGAATTTAAGTTGAACTATTTTATCAAATAAGTCAATAATTGTTCTAAATTGTTCATGAAAAGTCGCCATTAATTTCATTTTTTTGGAAAAGTGAAATTATTTTTTGAATTTTTTTTTCTGAAAAAAGAAAAAAATAAAAAATTTTCAGTCCTCGAAGGGTTAACAAACATTTTTACCTTTTGGGTTTGATTATTATTATTTTATATTGTATTTAGAACAAATATTTACATAATAACGTTAAATATAAAGATGATAATAAACCTTTTACAATTGTTTTATAGTAGTTTTAATTATTAGTTATTAGCTTTTTGGCTATATTATTAAAAAATAGGTTTATTATATTACATATTATTAATAAAAATATAATTATTTAATAGATTGTTATTTCATTATTAGTTGTGTTATTAAAATGTTATTTGTAACTATCGGTTTGATGTGTAATACAGTGCTGCATTTGTCACAATTTTTGTGTTAATTATGGCAATCACAGCGGTTATAAAATATAAACCGATATTTAAGAATTGAATTGGCTTGTTTTCCGATTACTTGGCCAAGTATTGATTCAAATAACTATCTATTTCTAAGTTTTTTCATTTACAAAAGTCGGCTTTAAGCTCGCCGCTAGATCTAAAAGAACTAAATGAACATAAATTCAAGACCACTTTGGTGACGTGGCAAATAACAAAGAAAAAACACTTTTGTCACGTGATAGACCCCGGTTGAAGTTAAACATGTTTGAACAAAAGGATAATATTTTATGATTAATAATAATAAATAATAATAAACTCACTATTATAACTCACATTAAACTGTTGTTCATTCATACTTTAAACACGTTCATTGTTTTCATCCCGAAAAACAACTGCTTTTAAGACCAAATAATAAGAAAATTACAAATTTATTTATATATTTGCCCGTTTTATTGTATATAATCCGCTTAATATTCAATATCTAAAAAAGTCTGGTCCTTTTTTTTTCTGGTGGTCCCCATTAATTACCCTATCTGTAAATAATATTTTAAAACTGATTATAATTGTATTTTATCATTTTATTCAACAAATGTACACAAATGTTGTTAAAAAAAATATAAAGTTATCTATATTTATTCACTTGGATTTCGCAATTGTGTAAAATACCCACCTGAAGTGCAATGTTCAATAAAGTCCTCTTTGTAATAATATGGATTTTCAACGCTAAGTGGGTTATCATAATACGAGTAACAACAACACACACGTTTGAAACATCCGCACCAATCTGGGCACAACAGTGGACACATGTTTTCCTTTTTATAAGCCCAACAATTGATGAACCCGGTCAGATAAATAAAGCAAATGCTAATTATAGAAGACACGAACGCTTTCATGTAATTCATTTTTTCATTGTTTTCATCAAATTTTATTTTGTAGCACAGAACTGCTGTATTCCAAAATAGTGCGATGGGGACGATCCAAACAAATGCTATATATATCGACGTCCAACAACTTGAGATGTTTTTGTCTTCAAATTTTTTGTTAAAACAATTGTCAACTCTGCTCTGGTTTTCACTTGCCATAACATAATAAGCGTACATACAAAAAAAGTAATATCGCGCTAATAATATGGTATAACAGAAAACTGGCGAATAACACACATATGATAATTTTTCCAGAACTATAATTAAATAAATTTGAATCTATCAATTCGACAAATAGAAGCGATAGTAGTGTGATCATCACTGGGCACAAAAAGATTGCCTTTAAAATATCGCCAAAAGCAAAGTAATGATTATATACTACAAAGTTGATCTTTTTTGAATTAACAAGACAAATTGATGATAAACCCACATGATACCATACAGAGGGTGTAATGTGCTATTATTGGAAGCAAAACATACCCAAAACTGATTTTTCCAAACGAAAAAATGATAAATAAAATTGAACTCATGAACACAAAAATTGGAAGGAAAAATGTCGAGTTAATACGTGGGAAATTGGATACAAACGCATTGAACATCCAGTAAAACGGTATTGGGAGGTCTTGAATAGCAAAAGTATCCATTATGAATATCTGTGTATAAAATCATGTTATTGTAAGCCAGTAACTTCCAATTAGAAAATCAAGGAAAAATGGAACTATTAATAGAGAAACATAGCCAGGATTGACTTTAATTGTTTTATCAAGAGAAAGGGGGTATAAAATTGAAAATAATATCAAACATCCAAATGTGAAAATTGAGACAAAGTGATTTGTAAAAAGAAAAATAAACACAGCAGAGAGTTGAGATTTAAATCTGAAGTTCCAAGTGTCGATTTTATATAAATTACGAGTGTTGGAATTTGTTTTACAATTACTTTCTTTTTGCATTTGAGTGTAATACTCACTTTTTGATGAACATTTGAATTTTGATATGTTCGAATAAATTTCATCGTCATCAACTAATTTCGATCACTCGGAACACGTTTCTGTTATACGGAGAAATGTTTGAATGTCACACTTCATACATATCTTTTTCATAACATTTATTGAAAGTTTGGGGACTGACATCAATTACTTGTTTTTAAAGGATATATATAAAGTGTTGTTTTTATATAAAGACTGATCAATTATTATTTTCATAAAATGTTCATATCCGTCATATTGGTTAGTATCTTAGGATATTTACTCAATTTCAATTCACAAAGTGATGATTAAAATTTAAAATCGATAAAATTTTTTTATTAGTTATTAAAATAATTATACTATTAAAGTTCACATCAATAAAAATACAATTTTTTATATTAATTTTAATTAGTATATACAGGCAAAGTCACTATTTGTAGGTTTTGCTAAGAATTGTAGTAGGGAAAATGAACCTTAGCCCAGTAAATGTACTTTAGCCCATAGAAATTCCTATATTTTTCTTTAAAAACACGGGTTTTTACTAAAAAAACAAATATTTTAAAAATTGACTTTTATTTGGGTATAGTTTATTATTTTAATATAACAATAAAAATAAATTGGTTTTTCTTTGGGCTAAGGTTAATTTCCCGGGCGAAGGTTTAATAGCCCAACTGTAGGAATAATATTCTTTGATTTTTTTTGATTATCAAAAATTAATAAAAATAACCATAGAGTTTGTTGTAAAACGTTGTACTAGTCACCAACGTTGTCCTTTTTATCAATTTATACACAAATATTTGTTTAAAACCCCGGGAATTAGGTAAAAATTGAAAATATTGAAAAAATTGGAAAAAAACTGAAACGACAATTATTTTATATTTCGAATATAATCCTGATAATTTCCAATTTTCATAGACCAAAAAGCCCAGGACAACGTTATCTGACTAACTCTATTCTTAATATTTAGTCTTTTAATAAAGTCTGCTTGAAAAAAGTTGTCCGCTTGACAAAATAAATACACAAGATAAGCCTTAAAAAAGGAATTAGAAAAAAGTTGGAAAACTAAATAGAATCAAAAATGGTGTTTTTGGAGCTTTTTCAACAGTTTCCCGTAATATTACAGTTTTAATGGTCTAAAAATTTGCTATTACCATTTTAAGACTGAATTATTATAATTTCAGATATGAAACTAAAGTTTCGACGAATACTAAGGTTTCGTTTTATTATTTGAATACTATTTGAATAATAATGAACAAGGTTTTTAATTATTTTCAAAAAAACGTCCAAATACAATTATTATATTTGATTTATACAATGGTATAAAAATTATTAATTATTAGACGAAACCTCAGTACCACATATGTAATTATCAATCAAAAAATATTATTAATTATAATATTTTTTAAATAAAATATAAACAATTATTATAAATTGAAAACATTATAACAGAAACTTAAAATAATTAGATTAAATGAGTTAAAAAAACACAAAAGAAGTCTTATTCCATATTAGATTTTGTTTCAGATACACTCAAAAAATAAAGTTATTTTAATTGATTTCAATTAATTATCCAGTTTCGAGGAGATACAGTTTATTTGTATGTTTTGATTTTGTTTGGCCAGTTTACCCACAAATAAGAAAACCTACAAATAAGCGACTTTGACTGTATAGATAAATAAGTATAGAATTGAATTTTAAAATA